TTTCTGTTGAGCAGCTGGGCCTCGTATGCAGTGGTTGTATGTTTCGGTATGGATCACGTGACTATGACCAGCCAATCATTTGCTTTAGTTTGGTTTGTGCATGAATCGACTTCATTTATGCTCCGTCGAACTGTTTGTTGACTGCTGAACCACTGGGACTATATCTGTGTTTATGTGAACTGTTGAACGTCACAATGACTCCCTTTGACATTTTTTAGCTGTGAATAACTTTCCCATCGTGGAATATTTCACTCACACGTGAACCATCTGTGGAAAATTTTTACAGGTGAACATTTCCTTCACAGCCGGTTACTACGTTGGAATCGGTGTAGTGGACTATTGGACCTACGCATTCTTGAGTCCTTATCGATTGCTTATTCTTTTCTTATTGTGATTTTGTTAATTTGCTCGTTTACTTGATCCAACATGCCAATAAGTTATTAGACTACAGGCCCCACCTATGTACGGTAGCCTAATCCAGTGACCAACGATGGTCTTCAATAACTATAACCATACGTGAATCCGCTTATATTGGCTTCCAGGCCAGCATCCATTCGGGCGTGATAGCCTAATCTGATGGCCTGTCATACTCATCACCTTACTCGATGTCGCCCCACTTGAACGCTCATCGTACCTGCTAGTTCCATGTCCATGTGCTGCGTTGATGAACCGGTAACTCAATCCAGTCAAATTTGTCGCGCTCGTAACTGTACACGTATCGCTTGTCTTTGCGAATTATGATAAACACCGGGCCAGTATTTATGCGAACCGATGTATACGTGGCCTAAACTATGCACACATACCTAATCTAATGGCGAACGACGGACCTCATACTCACAATTGTACGCGATATCGTCTATCTTGACTACTTTTTGAAACTGCTAGGCCAGTGCCTATATGCGACGCTGATTATTAGGCCTCAACTGTGCGCAGTAATCTAACTGCAAACGATGCCCTGCCATATTCATAACTGCACGCTCTTAGTTGTCTGCTACGTGTAGTAAGCACCAGGCCGATAAAAATGAGGCCCAAACTATGCGCGATATCTTAATCTAACGGTCAAGGACGGCACGTCATACTCGTAACCGTAGTCGATATCACACACTTTGGCCGCTTATCGTAAGTGCAAGGCCTGTGTTTATGTGCAACGCTGGGTATGAGGCTTCAACTGTACCAAGTAGCCCAGTCCAATAGTCAACGACGTCCCGTCATACTCATCAATATATCCGATGTAACGTTCTTCATGTGGTCGATCAAGTATCTTGGTCTCATCAGTGTCGAAAACGTCCGCCAAGAAAACCCGGATAACAGCAACGATATCAAATGTAAGCTGATTACCCATAGAAGTGACGTCCCTCAGATCTTTTCTCGGTTATGTAAGTCACCACAGTCCATTTCTGCTCACCATGCATCGCCTCCGAGTTCCACTGGCATACGCAGCAAAGACCACAAGTGAACATGGGTAGAGGAATGCAAACGCGTCCTTGTCTCCGTCGTATCCATGCTGAGTTCCGATTTGCCACTTACCCAATATGATCCAATACTGGAAATCGTTGCGGTGCCGGGTGCTTTTAATTGGCGCAGAGATTTCGCACTTGTTTCCCGACAGCAGTCAGAACCCTATTTCGCATGCGGCCAGATCCCTAACTGCGCTGAGCGATAGTGTCTGTTGTCAAAAAGTTCCATTAAATCATCTGCGGTCGTCAATTACTATACCGACTAATTACAAGCCGCTCCTTGCTGTTTGGCTCGAAGGAAGAGATCCTATTTTATACAGCCAACAGCCTCCAGCGATGAGGAACTCTGCTTGCAGAATACCACTTTAAGATCAAATACCAGTCTACAACCAGCCTCAGACAATCGACGCACTGTCTCAACTCTGACTTACGCAAGGCGGAACCAGAGGATACTGTAGATGCAAAAACTTTCTTGGAACCATGGTTAACCGCGTAGTATCCGAAGTGATCCATATTCTCCCGATAACTGCCGACGTAGTCCGTAAGGCTGCCGATCAAGACCCTGTGTTGCACCAGGTCATCAAGTACCACCGCAGTCAGTGGTCGCGTACTTTCCCAAAAGAAGAACTGAGACTGCACTTCAACCACCGTGACGCACTATCACTAGCCGATGGGCGCCGTACCAGCAGGCAACGAGTACGACGGCGCACGCAAATCCCTCAAACGCCAAATAGTGAAGAGTCTGAGGAAAGACCGAGAGCTCTGGTGGACGTCAAAAGCTCGGGAGATGGAGAAGGCTTTTGCTACGGAAAACAGCCGTGCCCTTCGTCAACTGGTACGATCGACTGGCCCTAGGAAAGCAACGGTCAGCGAAACGATAAGTGAAAAAGATGGCTCATTAATTCACCCGCAAAAACGTCGACTGGAGAGATGGGCCGAACACTTCGAAGAGCAGTTCAGCTGGCCTCGTGCAACACAGCCAGTGGAGGTAATGCATACGGGCGAATGGAATGTAAACCTTGATCGCCCTTCAGAAGAAGAAATAAGGTACGAAATAGCCGTACTGAAACGTAAGAAGGCATCAGGACCGGACGGTCTGTATCCAGCCCTCTTCAAAGAAGGCGGATAATCCCTGGTGATTCACCTGACAAAGCTTAGTGGTGCTATATGGAACGAAGAGAAAGTGCCTGCAGAATGGGGCATGTTGACGGTTATCCCCATCTTCAAAACGGGTACGCGGACGCTATGTGAAAACCACCGTGGCATCAGCCTGTTAGCTGCAGCATCGAAGGTGCTCTCTGGCCTTATCCTTCGAAGGTTGACTGAACACAGGGAGAGGTAGATCCGTGAAAACCAAGCTGGGTTCCGTCCTGCAAGAGGTTGCATCGATCATATCTTCACCCTCCGGCAGATTCTGGAACAGCGACACTGTTTCCAGCAACCAACAGTGGTCGTTTTTCTTGATCTGAAAGCTGCCTTTGACTCTGTGGACCGCCAAGCACTATGGCAATGTCTGCGGAGCAAAGGTGTCCCCAGTAAATTCTTGACCCTCATTAAGGCGCTGTACGCCAACTCCCGCGGCCGTGTAAAGGTCTACGGGAAGCTCTCTCCTGAGTTCACCACATCCAGTGGTGTCCGACAGGGCTGTCCTCTTTCACCTTTCCTCTTCAACTTCGTCATTGATACGATCACGGAAGACTCACTACCAGCCTCTAATACCTGTGGGGTCGAAGTGCTCCCTGGGCCTCCGCCCACTGATATCGAGTACGCAGACGACATAGCTATTCTTGGATCTAACCCCGTGGCAATGCAAACAATACTAAATAATCTAAGTAATTCTGCCTCGCGGTTTGGTATGCACTTCACACCTGCAAAGTGTAAAGTGCTACTGCAAGACTGGGTGGGCTCGAACCCTAGCCTCATGCTTGCGGATGAACCGATTGAGGTAGTAGACAAATTTGTTTACCTGGACAGCTGTATCAGTCCCGGTGGTCTCACGAAAGATGAAATATCCATCCGGATTGGGAAGGCCAGAGCAGCTTCTGCGAACCTACGTCACCTGTGGCGTAGGCGTCACATCAGCTTCTATGTCAAGGGTCGAGTTTACAATGCTGCGGTGCGCTCCATATTACTATATGGATCAGAAACCTGGTCGCTGCGCGCCGAGGACATCAAAAGACTTTCAGTGTTTGACCACCGATGTGTTCGGAGCATTGCCCGAATCTGGTGGGAACACCGGATCAGAAATTCTGAAGTACGTCGAATGGTATTCGGGAGAAATAACTCACCCTCGATAGATGAACTGATCACACTGCATAGGTTGCGCTGGCTTGGCCACGT